TGTAGTTAAAAAAGAAGGAAAAGCTTTTGGTTTGCTTGTAATATTATTTTAATGAAGAATGTGTAGTTAAAAATGAGTACCGTAGAAAAAATGATAAGGTAGAATGTGAAATAATGAATAACAAACAGGGGCTATATGTCATTCTATGAACTTTTATAACAACAGTTCTCCCAATTTTTTTTAATCCCAATGACGTGTTTGGGATGATGAGCTAGGCGACAAAGGATTGTGTTAAGAAAGAAAAATAAGTCAAAATCTTGAGCATTGTACTGTTCAATACTGTCGAAATGCTGTGTACCGAACAAATGCTAAATGTTAAAGTTTTGGTTTGCAGCTTGGGTCTGCTGAACTGTTCATGCAGGAATCAAAGTTTCTAGTTTTTGGTAATGGGAAAGACAAGCCTCCGACTGGGTTTATGTTTGAGAAGCAGCAAATGCATGGCTTATATTTTAATCAATCTTCTTCGAAGGTAAGCCATAAATAAAGCTTCTCTCCGATCTTTCAATTTTGCACAAATAGATATCATAAAGATTAAAAAATAAATAAAAATTATCCCTTTCTTTATCAATTAGGTATTTTGATGGGAACATTGATATCGTTTAGATGCTTGAAATGGTAGTGTAACATTGTCAGGTTGTGGCATGGAAATTAAGAAAGTATGATCATCATGGTATTGCTAGATGTAAGAAAGAAACTTGAAAGAAAATTTGATAAAACTGGTCATCGTCTACCCTCTTTTCCCTTTGATCATATGTTATTCCTTTTTCATGGATTTTAGACAATAAGGCTCCCACGAAAAAAAAAAAAAAACGAAGAAATTTTACATAGTCGCCCTGAATCAGGAATAAGTTTTTCTTTTTTTTTTTTCTTTTAGGAATTTTTTTGTTGATGCCTATGATATCTAATATCTTGGTTCTTTCAGGATGTTGCTTTGGCAATGGTTTCAATGAGACCGACCCCTCTTGGCCCTATGATGGAGGCATTGTCTCTCTCCCCCGAGAAGTATGGAATTGGACGGCGTTTTTACATTCAAACACTGGACGATCATGTACTTTCACCTGACATTCAAGAAAAGCTTGTGAGGGAAAATCCACCTGAAGGAGTCTTCAAAATTAAGGGCAGTGATCATTGTCCTTTCTTCTCAAAGCCACAATCACTGCACAAGATTTTACTCGAAATCGCTCAAATTCCAAGCCAAACTCATTCTTGATAGAAAAACAAATCCGGGAAGTCTTTTTCCTTAACGAGGAATAGCCTTATTCTGATAAGCTACACAGTATTTAATGTCGTGTATAATATAAAATAGTTGACAACGACCAAAACATTTTCATTATTTCATTTTTATTAGCAGTTTCTTCACTCTCTTGGTATTTTGATATTTTATTCTGATACAGGTGTTTTCTTCGTTCTGATTCCGAACTTTCATTTGCTTCTCTTTATAGCATCCGGACCTGTAGATTATGTGTACGTGTTTGTCAGATAAGATCAGTGTTTTTACAGGTGTGCATTTCCTCGAATCTTTTCTAGAACGTTTGGTAGAAAAGATTAGATGGCATTGTTATACCGTCTAGAACTAGTTCATTGAAACTAAAACACAGTTGTATAGCACAACATGCTTAACATCTCACCCGATTTTAGATTATACCAGAGTATCAATAGAAAAATAAAACGATTCAAGAAGACTACTCAATTTGCCTATGCTATTGGTTTGAACAGCAAATGACTGTTCACAATAATCGTTTAATAAGAATTACATAAGCTTTAAAGAAACCAGTTCAAATCTAAGTACTTTTTGTTGCTAAAAGTAAGGAGTTCTCTTATAACATATTTATTTTTTCTCCATTCCTGCAACCTCCTGCATCCTTTCAAGAAAGCTTAACATGCTCTTCAAGCCTTCCTCGTCTGAAAAAGAATAAAAGTTGTATAAATATTCGGCTATGCCAGTTGGATACAATATTATGTACCAAAAAAATAGGTTAGAAATAAAGTTTAAGAGCATTACCAAATCTTGGTAT